AGGGCGGCCCATTACGAACTAATAGATGGTCTATTATTTTATACAAAAACTACGAATTCCAACAACGAATTTCGACCTGTTATCCCAGCTAGTCTTAGATTAAATATCCTGCAAGAGCTCCATGACAGCCCTTTAGCTTCTCATGCTGGTATTCGAAAAACTATCCAACGCGTACGCGAGGCAGTCTACTTTCCTGAACTGCAAAAGTTAACAAGGGCGTATGTCCAGTCCTGCCCAACATGTCAAGCCGTTAATTATATTAATTTCCGCCCGGCCGGGTTTCTAAATAGTATTAAATCCGAATTTCCAAATGAAATAATCGGCATCGATTTATTGGGCCCTTTCCCAAAAAGTCAGTTAAATAAAAGTCGCTATCTCCTTGTTATGGTTGATCATTTTAGTAAATGGACCGAAATTGTTCCCTTAAAACGAGCCTCCGCGAAATTAGTTACCGATTCTATTTTAAATAAATATATTTTAAAATACGGGGCGCCCCTAAAAGTTATATCGGATAATGGTCCTCAATTTGTAAGTAATATATTTGAAGACATGTGCCAAAAACTGGGCATACGTCATTTAAAAATGGTCCCGTATCGGCCGCAATCAAATATAGCGGAACGGGTCAACAGAAATATAGTGAAAATTATCCGTAGTTATGTTAAAAATTTTCATAAAAGCTGGGATAACTATGTCAATGAATTTGCTTTCGCCCTTAGGACCGCAAAACATGATACAACGGGCAAAAACTCCTGCTGAGTTATTTCTAGGCAGAAAGATTATAACACCGTTAGATAAATTATTTTATGTGCAACAAAGAGCCCCAGAATTTAAAATGGGTGATATAGAAAAACTAATAAAAGAAGCAAAAAAGAATACGGAAGTAGCACAAAGAAAACAGAAATTATATTATGAAAACGACGGGGAGTAACTTATAAAGTAGGGGATGAAGTACTTAAAAATTAAGCATTCACTTTCTTCAGCACCAGAAGATAAAACTGCCAAATTTTTTCCACGATTTGAAGGACCATATGTTATAGAAAAAATAACTCACGCTGTTGTAGTGTTAAAAGGCCAGAAATGAAATGGTGAAACCTGTTCCGCAAACATTGATCAAATTAAGCCCTACTTCGATCGTAATAAAATGCAAATCTTTTCAGATCTTTTGCAGGATCCAGCACGGCAGACACCGCAGGTACAAGTTCCAGAGGTGGCAAAAACGACAAGTACAAGGGCAAGCCAATGAGAGACAGAAGCAAGTGAAAAGAAAATTGCCCCGCGGAAAAATTGAAGGTAAAAAGAAAAAGAAGCCGTTCCACCGTCCAGAAAACAGAGTTCACGAACACCCCCAGAATGAAGAAGGGAGAAGGACGACGTATGTGAAGAGGACCAGGAGAAATGACGGCAACTATAACCCGGCTTTAAAACGGAAGATCGACTCATCCGACAGAACTCTCCGCAGCAAAAGTCGCCGAACTGCGGAAGGGCCATCAGCGGCGGAGGAAAAAGTACAAGAAAAATTTGAACGGCCAACAACGAGGTCCAAGCAGGATCACGACAGAAGTTTCCCGGTTCCGCCAAGACCAGCTGCCTTCAAACGGCCAAGACCACAAGCAGAGGACAAAAGGAAGGTGTTCAAGGGTGGCCGTACTGGTGAAAAACGGAAGCTTCCAGAGGAAAGCACTGAAGGGCGAGCCCGTACAAGAAGGTCTGCAGTACCTTTAAAGACTGGGCCCAGAAAAGGATGTCCGAATATTACAAAGATAAGTAAAATTTTATGTTACTTTGCAAACTTAAGTTAATCTTTCATTCTTACTGCAAGTGGCAGATTTCAAGAAGTTTTACCTCATGCGAGGTCTACCTTTATCGCCAAAAGGGCGAGAAATGAGTTGTGACCGATTTTCTTATTATGTTTTTAATTTACTCGTGCGTAAAACTAAAGTTGATGTATAATAGCGTTGTGTAAAGACTTAAATATTGTAAAAAGTTATTGTATAAATTTTATTTAAAACATTCTAGCAAGAAAGAAGTTTTAGTCTGAAAGACTTTTTGAAATGTAGTATTATTTCAATGTAGAAAGAATTGGCACTTGCTTTGAAAAGAATAGAAGTTAACAATGTACTACTAATGTATGTTTTCAAATGTGTAAAATTAACGGCATGTTGATATGTTCTGTATACATGTGAATTTTTTAAATGTTAAGAAATACCGTGATATGGTAAAAGTGAAAGTAATGTTAAAAATTTGTTATTCGTGTGACTGTAAAGATTAAATCATGGCGAATATATGTTAAAGGTTGAATGATGTAGTTAGGCTCTCTGACGCTACACTTTAGAGTTAGCCACTTTTAGAATAGTACCTCAGGGTTTAGAGTTGAAAGTTAGGGTGTGTTAAGAGGTCTCGTTATGTTGAATTTTAACACGTTAGTGTTTTGATTGTAGGAGGAAAGTGTTGAACACATAGACAGAAACACATTCGTGTTTGGTGTTCTTTTACAACACATGTCAGAGAGCACGGGAGAGATAATTAAAATAGTCATGAATGAAATAAGAATGTTAAGAGAAGTATATTCTATATGGTTATTTGCAATGTCATTGTGTAACATTTCATTAAACTAGTTTTCCTTCCAGATCTCTGGAAGGAACCAGAATTGAATAAAGCTCCTGTTTAGATGCAGTACAGATGAAAAAAAAAAAAAAGATTGTTGTATATCCTGGGAGCTGCTATTGTAACAAATTTCTTTCTTTTAAATTTTCTAGTTTCTAACGAAGTTATGATTGTAAAAGGTTGGCCTCGCGTTATATTCTAGAGCTAAAAGTTTTCAACAAGGTCGTTTTAGACCTCAGTTTCAAACTAATTAACTCTGGCGGGAAGTATGTAAGGATCTTAAGTTTTACTAACGTTTATTTTATTTTAAATCTTTACTATCACTTCTTATTTTCTACTTCCGGCCAGAATTATAAGCGTGAAGGATTTTATGCAAAGTTTGTCTGGCGAACGCCAAGTATTTAAGTGTGGCCTTTTTGCCAAGCGAAAGAGAGGAAGCAGTGAGTTCGAAGCAGGCCGCTTACCTTAGAAGTTACGCAGTTGCTATTTGCCTTCCAGGCCAGAGGTTTTAATCCTCTTGATAAATTAAACGTATTGTAGTGTTCACAGTCTCTGTGCTACATACGCTTCCTGTTATTATAAGGCCAATCTTCCACGTGTATTATTCTAAAGTTAAATTAGAGTTTAGTTTTATTTTTGATATCGTTTACGTTAGACCCCGAGTGGAGGGTCATTGTATTCCGAAGTACGGAAGTCATTGTATATAAAGAAAAAATAAAGGGTTTTGTATACCCTTCGTCTGTATCCTGTCTACTTACTACAATTAGTGAACATAGCTTTAGTAAGCTCTCTGTTCCTAGTCAGGTCCTTGTATGTTTCCGAAGAAGGTTAGAAGGAACATTGAACCTGATAAAGTAAGTACCAGATGTTTTTGTCACCAATAATATTACATATGTTTCAAATATAAGCGTATATACGCTTTTATCTATATGTAATTGTGTCTGTATGTCTTTGTTTACATGCAATTGTATCCATGCATCTAATAGTATTATCACATAACTTGGCGCTGTATAGCCTAATATACATCATATACATCTCTTACGCACTGAATAATCATGTTCCTAACGTATGTCTACCCAACAGCTATTGTATACCCAAAATGTCTGTACATATGTATATGAAATTATGTTCTGTATACATGATAATGTAACTATACATATGCAAATTTTATCCTGTAACACGGCACCGTATCGCAAAAATCAATCTAAGGTCCCAGTCTAAAATTAATTGCACCAATTATCTATTCAGCATTGCATTAAGTACATATTTTTAATGTATGTTAAAGTAGCACGTACCTAACGCTTGGGTACCCACCGATTATTGTGTATCTAATACACTTGTATTAATGCCTTTGTATATAGATTAATGTACCTAGGAAACAGCACAAATAATACAGCAGCAAGACACTGTACCACACAGTACTAATTAGTTTTCTTGCATAACATTGTGCACCTAATGTTTCAGTATGTACATGTCCTGTATATCTGCATCTAATGATAATGCTTCAAAGGATCATGTGTAACCAAGGTATAAGTATACACGTTATGTATATATGCTACCGTATCCACGCTTTTGCATACACCTTGTAACATGACAATGTATTATCCAGTGTCTAACATTAATTAGCTTTAACGCTACTGTATTAAGTACCAAATTTGTATGTATGTTTATGTATTAGTGTATTAGCACAATGACTACGTATGGTTATCCAGATAAAGGTGGACGTGGCGCTATACCGATTAACCGTATTGGTAGAGGGGTGGTGCCCACGTTCTCCGTCGCATTACGCATGTGAATAGAAACATTTTCCAAAAGCTTTGATATATATAATCTGCTATCATACTGATATCTCAAATACGCAGACAGTTTTGAGTTACACTGATGGATTGTACTGATCATTTGAAATTGTAATTTTTATATCGTTCTAAACAACTTTAATATTATAATAAAATCCGGTTAATGCGCAACCCGGCTAATCGGGAATGGACTGTATAGCAAAATTATTTCGATCGAAATTCTTGATTCAAATCTGCCACAGTCCCCAATGTGTAGAAACGCGTTACATCAACGGAAGTTAAAGTAGTGAATGAAATCATATCTGCAATTTATATAAAATAATGTTTAAATTTTAACTTCTTTGGAATAAATATTAATTACTCTCAACGCTTTTACTAAAACGCATTATTTCTGATTCGCAGTGCGAATTCAGTGACTTCATGCAAAAATTTAATTTGCTAAATTAATAACTAATAAATTAAATGCAATATTAAATCTTCGTCAAGGACAGATGCAGTAAAAACATCATCCCAAACAACGTATAAGAATTTGTGCGCCATATTCTAATAAATCCTATTAGTATGCTTTTCTTTGTCAGATATCACAGCTGATGCAAGTACAATTTTGGACACGCACTTACTGTTGAGATGTAATCAAGTTAACAAAGGGGGAAGTGCGGTTGGAGTTAATGAGATAACATGAAACAAAACTTGATGAGGCATGGGATCCGGATGCTCAGCCGACCAGATGGAGACATACAACCAAAGAAAGTAAAAACAAATTCACATCACAATTCCATTCGTATTTATAAGAAAGGCAGAATCATGCCCAAGGAATTTTCTTTCCATTTCCTTCATATATGGACCTCCTGCTTACTGTCGACCTGGAAATGTTTCCACTGGGAGAAAATGCATTTAGCTGAAAAGAAGAAATGCTGAGCTTAATATTTTTGTCGCTGTTTAAAAAGTAAAAGCAACATAAGATGAAAGAAGACATCAAAGAAATCATTTGCTAACGTTGCTCTACAAATGTGAAGTTTTGCTGTTAAAAAGATTTCTTCATGATTTAACAATGCTTTATTTTTATGACATTGAAGCGCGAATATATTTTTTTTCTCCTTTTTTTTTACAATCATTTGTTTATTTTTTGATGAGAAAAAACCTTTTATTTAAAAGGCCTTTGTCTTTTGAAAATGCAAAAATCTATAAATATCATCTGCTTTAAAAAGAATAATGCTCATTTTTATTTCAAAATGGCGTAATGTTTCAGAATTTTGGCGTACCTCTGACTTTAATCTTTTGGCACAGTTGAATTTCATTGTTCGACTGCATAATAAGACCAGATGTTCTTGAAAAAAATTTTCTTTTAACTTGATTTTTAAATTAATATATTTATGAGCGCATTTTCCTAATAAGCATGCAGGTAGGACAGACAGACTAGGCATCACTTAGTCAAATTAAAGAAGAAATATCCGTTGCCGTCTTTAGAATATACATAGAAATTTTATTGTATTTCTTTCATTTGATATAAAATGTGTGTGTAATACTTGTCCTTAAACCATTAAAACTCTACTTAGGAAACCAACTACGAACAAGTTCCCCGCTGAAACGTCTAATGTGAAATTTTATTAAATGTTAAACCATTCCTGTTTAACCTTTCTGTGTTTTCAACGAATCCGGATCTTCACGCTTAACTAGAAATCTAAGACTGCAAAACATAGAAAAGATACTGTACTTTTCCCTATTTATTTAGTTGTGAGTTCCTGCAGTTATACAGCAGACGACTTATTGCGTTTTATTACTTTTATACAATAATTTAATGAAGGTTTAAAACTTCATTAATACGCCAGCCTGACGGTTACACATGCTGTTTAATAACGTAAGTGTATAGCTGATACTTGCAGGAAAAATGTTGAAAATTAAATTATCAATTAAAAAATTTAAATAATTAAATATATGAAATCCTAAATTAAATTAGGGAAATTAAAATATGCTTCTAAAAAATGTTTCTAAATCAGCTATAGCTCTGACCTCAATATTTTCCAGAAACAATTACGACAAGAAACGCTAAAGCTGATTTCAACAATTCAAATTAGTATCAGGAAGTTGTCTCAGAATACCAGGCTTGCCTCTATTAACTCATTTGTAGCCTGCAGTGGGAGTGAAAGTAGCTGCAATATAACAAGATAACTGGTCAATTAAATTAAAACCCTACAAGATAAAACTTGAGAGTGTATTGAAACTACATCTTGTAGATAAAAATAAAATTTCATAAACTTACCCAGCGCTATTTGAAAAGTACTTACTGTTTAATTGCCGAGTCTGAGTGTGCATTATTGCAGAGTCTAAATGTTTAATTATGTATAACACAACAAGCAAACTGAGTACCTAATCAAACCGGCTGCAGTTATCACAGCTTCTAACACTGCGAACTAACAAATGCAAAACTTATTATGCCAAACCCAGATCCACACACTAGTGGGTGACTCTTCAGGAAATAGGCAATTTTGATAAAGTGTCATGGCTTTCAAAACTATAAATTCGCTCGCTGAATAAATTCAGTCTAATTATCATTCTAGAGAAGGCTGATAAAGTATAAGAAAGAGTTAACATAAAAATAATGTGTTAACTAAAATAAGCTTTGCAAATAAAATAAGTGTAGCGAATACCCGGGTTTCGTAACTCAACAAAATCCTAAATCTGAGGCAACAACCTCACGAATAGTATTTGGATAACCTCCGCGTCTGTTTTCTTTCCATAAAATAAGTTCACGACTTGTATTTTCCTCAAAAATAATTCAATTAATTCTTCAATCTTAGTTTGGTATTTACCAAAAGGTTCCGCTTCTAGTTTTTCCTGTCTTTCACCGCGGTGAATGCTTTCACAAGGGTTGTTTTAAGCCCTTTGAAATTATAACTATCAGTTTTGGGTTCACTCAAGAAAAATGTATTATGTCTTCGGCTCAATTCTGTTCTCAAATCGCAGCGGTTACTATGCGTTAGCAATTCTGCAACTGAGTGAAATTAAAGGTGACTATCTAAATGTTCCAGAAAGGTTATTACCGAACATCTGCCATCGAAAATGACGGCCAGTGGAGCTAGCAACCTTAGGAGGGCCAAGCTAAATTCTGCGTTGACATGGAGCATAATTTATTCGAGCGCCAATATTAGGGTTATACTTGATCTAGTACTGCTTCTTTAGTCCTATGACCCTAACGGACGTGCAGCGTGTTATTGTTGTGTTTGAGATGAAAGGACAAAAATTAGGAAGTTTATAAAATAATGTTTTCTGTATAAGTAGAACTTTTAACATAAATGAAGGACTTTGTTCTACAAATTGCCTCAAGAAAAGGTAAATAAAAATAAAAACACTCAATTCAAATTAAATGTTGATTAGTAGTCAAAGACTACACAAATGAATACTAAGCTAGAAGCTGGCTGAATAATTTACGGATGTGTATTAAAGTATTGGCGATGAGAGACCGCCAGCCGATACATATAACTAGAGCTGGCAGAATAATAACCACGTAGCGCGGAATTCCAGAAACAGCCTCTCTTTCAAGATCCCAAATTAAATACACAACTGTTAATTTGGATTCTGATGTTGATGAATATGGAAAGGAGATATTATAGTTAAGACCAAAACTATAATAACTGTTTACTTAACATAAGAATACTAGAATATGTATGCCATTTTAAAAGAATAATTCAAACAAAATTTTGAATTAAATTACCAACTTATCATTCTTCTTTCATTATAGCTTTTATGTTGCGACCAACAAACGTAATTTTACATATTTTACAGTATAATGTAGCTTTCCAATATATGCAAACTAAGATACAAAAACTGATTATCCAAAATGAATAATTTGTTTTAAATAGACATTAACATCCATTAAATGGGCATTAATTTTTACGCTCCACTGTCTGTCATTAAATATAACCTAAAAGGAAACTCATGATTGCAAGAACAAACCAACCACGGGAGCTAACATTTCTTCGCTTAAGTCAGTATTTATGACAGTCATAAACTGGTACGCAGTTATAACACGTAGAAGCTTCATATGCTACATCAATACATTCGAGACTCTTAAGCAATAAAACTGATGTAATAAACTTACTATTAAGCAGTAGGGAAGGATAACAGGAAAATACGAAGCACCCATATAAAAATGTTATTTAGTATGGTAGAATATATTATATATATTTACAAAGAGAGAGAGAGAAACACAGAGAAAGAGTTGGTTTCAAGAAAAGTTGCTGCAGGCGTGATTTCCTTAAATACCGAATATTCGGTCTAACACTTTAGCCGGTCAAGCTGTAAATAAGCTCACAACAATATTTTTTTAATATCTTTAAGCAAAGTGAGCCATATATAGCCATATATAAAGTGTTCAGTAATCCGCATTCGAGATATTAAACATGCTAGGTTATTAAATATGTCGGACTATCCGAATAAAACTGCATTAAACATGACTTTGCATTAATTGAATATGCTCAAAAATGAAACTTACTAGTAAATATGTATTAGATAAGAGACAAATTCATTTCTTTGTTAAAATACTTTGTTTTATCTATTAGCGTAGATCATGTTTTGAGTTCTACTATGTGCGTTTGGGATCTGCTATTTGTGTTGTTGTTATCACTTACGCTCACTTGTCTGATAGTAACATCAGGCCAAGCCTACAAAGTTCCTCGAGGCGAGGAGCGCAAGATACGCCTGTAGTAGGCAACAGCCTTGAGCACCATAGAGGTGACAGTGCGATTTAGCTCAGTTCCGCCCCCAATTTTGACCACCCTCGGGGGGCGGGTCCTAGGGTCTCCCTACCCTCTTCCCTTCTATTAAACCACACCAGAGGACTTTCGACTCGTCGCCTATAAAGAGGGTCGCTGTGCCGCACCGTCACTATACATTTACAAGCACCCACGCCTTCTCCGGGATTCGAACCCGGCCTTTTCGGCACGGCAGTCAGCGGTGCTAACCACTGTACCGATTGGGCAGCATTTGTGTTGAATCAGGTATGCAGCAAGCTATCCAGTTAGTCGGGTTTAGGATTTTTTAAGTTTACCGAGTATCGATATACATAGATTTAGATAGAAATTTGTAATTTTTTTAAGTATTAAAAACACTAAAAGATCCAATACCAAATTTCTTTACTCTAATACTTCACCTCTCATCTTATCTATTTATAACATCTCTCTTTCTGGTGAATTGTCGAAACCTCATTTTATTCTCATGTCAACATTTTTGTAATATTTTCGAAATATCTTAAATAAATAGTCATAAAAAAGCAAATGCTAAGTAAATGTGAAATCTGAAAGAAAGGACCAACTGAAAATGAAAAAAAAAAAAAAAGAAAGAAAAACAACTGGTCAAGCCTTTCTGAATGTGGGCAAAATAAATGCTAGTAGCATCATTAAGAATTAGGCTGCCGATTGATTGGATGTTGGATTATCAAACTTTTACAGTTAAAGCGGCATATGTGAAAAAGGAAACAAAATAAAAAATGGCAATCATATTTTAGAATTTCAGTAAAGAAAACAAATCTGTGTTATAGAATTTTCTGGAACTTCGTGATTTCAAGGGCAAACCCTTGCCTGTCAGAGACTAGATATGCACTTCTAATCGTATTTTTTTAATTAAAACAGAGATTATTATGAAAGTAATTTTCATATTAATTCTGTAAATTAAAAAAATGCTTTTTTATAGACTTCGTAAAGTACAGTTTTAGAAAAAAATTATTTAATAAGTTCAAATTACGTAGAAGGAAAATATTTTATACTTTTTGATGTAAAATTAGCAGAGATATTCAAGAACAATATTTGCTGATTTGCTTTTGATGGCCTTTCAGCAAGCTTAAGAAAAAGCTACTGAATAAAATTTGTTGGTATAGCTTGTAATGTTTTTTTAATTTGAATCAGAGCATTTAATATTAAATTTATAGAAATAAAGCAGTACCATGAATTCATCTTTTCGTATTCCAACATTCGTGTCATAATCTTCCTATTCTTTTCATGCCTGCTCCCTCCAGCTAATACGCAGTACACTGGTTTTCTTCCTTACTCCAGATTGACTCCAGGTGTATTGCTGTAAATTTAATAAATGCTTTTAAATAATTGTTGAAAAACGCGCACTCGTCTTCAGCCAATTGAACTGTGTATTTTTAATTCAACAATATTTTATTAAGAATAGAGAGGTGTCCAAATAATCAAACCAGGAGCTACCTTTTCATGCACAGTTCCTGTTTAAAATTCCATATCACCACACAGAATTTTTATTACATACATGTATACATCCTTGTGGTAAAGACTGAAGAACTTAAGGGAAAAGTAAATAATGTATACTGTACTCCGGCTTAAATATGACAAAGGGAAATGTGGTGTTGAATGTTAACACTATTTAGCTAGATACGTTCAAGTATCAAAATCAGTGTTACGTATGCCCAATACTTTGCTGGGCTAAAATTATATTTAGTACATTGCGTCTTAATCCTATCAGAGAAATAAATAAAATACTTCACTTACCCAACAAATGGCATGAGCACTTTCACAATCACAATCTCATTTCTTAATTTCACTTTATTTACTTAAGCTCATTTTTAGATGTTATCTGGATTAAACAAACAATATGAATATCATAGCAAACAAAAAATAGAAAACTGCGCAGTTTGTCTCTAAATACAAGCAACTTTAATCTAAAGTCATCCTTCGCTTTTCTTGTTGGAAATATCCTATAATTTCGTACAGACATTCCGGATGTTGCTTTACACACATCTCGTAGTCTATTTCTTCAAAAAAAAATCATCTTCTAACTTTAGCACTGATGATATCTCTGCTACTTGCAATGTCATTCAATAGAGAAGGCCTGAGCGGTTCTCACCACGAGGTAACAAACTAGTAGAAGCAATTTTTTGACGACGACACATGATAACCGAAATACTTTAGGACAGATTAAGTTTCAGCATAATTAATTTTGGATATTTTCAGCAATTTTAGCCTGCTTCTCTCCTTTTTACCATCAAATGTGACGATCTGCATTCCAAGTGTGCGAGTGATGCACATGCGCAGCCCCGCATACTCGATCGTGCCGTAGTCAGCAAAGAGGGAGAAAAACCTATTTGGGGAGTATTTATATGCACATGTAGTTCTGCGATTCCAATTAATGTTACCATAGTGTCCATGAAGATAAACTTTTTTTTTTTTTTGCGTGGTGAGAGAAACCTCCGTTCTCACAGCGAGGAAATACTGTCATGCCATAACTAAAACCTGGTGATGCTTCTCTTAGTCATGAAAGGTTGGATAACAGCCAGCTTTTTAAACCTGAGTGTTGCTTAACTAGACCACTTTCAGTGCAAAGCTAATGCTAAAAGTGGTTTTGTTAGTGCGACTATCTGTATTCTTAGTTCCAGGATCTTTGCAACGGAATGCATTTGAAACTTTGCTCCATCATATGGACAACACTATAAAGACATTCATTGCAATTGTACCTCGCTTTTGCAAGGAAACCACAGTTCAAAGGAACAGAAATATTTGTAAGGATAATGGGACATATATATCATTGCTCCTTCATGCAAAGCAATAACTAATTTGGAAAGAAGACACCTTCAAAAATGTAACATCTTAATGTCAGACACAACAATGCAAGCAGAATTTTCGTTGGCTTCATTACTCATAGGAGAACACAGAGTAGAAGTCATACTCCCATACAGGCCTAAAACTGCCCAGACCTTTATAGCAGTTACTTTACTTACTTTATAGCAGATCTGCACCCTTGTGATCGTTTCTGACTTCTCGAACAGTAGCCATTTGCATAAAGGTGCCCATACCTTTTTAACAAGCCACATTTAGGCAAAAAAGGAAGAAAAGAAAGAAGTAAAGCGTCTTCAACCTAATTCGAGCATTCAGTTAGTTTTCCTGTAAGCTAAATATAATTTTTAAATTGAATATTCGAAATTATTAATCAATGCAGAAGCTTACTTCCAGCTGTTTCTTAAACAAATGCACAATTTAAAATTTACAATGAATACAAATTACCCGCTTCCGTACATGCGTGCAACTTGTATTTCGTAGATTAGAAATCAGTTTAGTTCAGGACAGGATCAAAATGTATTACTTATTTCTAAATGAAATCCTCTATGATATTTACGAAAATACGATTGGCATATTAGAGATCTTCTTTAAAAAATCTGAGGAAAATAAATCTGTATGTGGTAAAATGGAGAAACACCTATTTTGAAATATATATCTTGCCCACGAGCATCCTTATTCGGCCTTTTTTTCTCAACCGTTAACATATAACAATTCTTAAACATACCCGCTATTTCAAAAATGTTTCAAACGGCGCAAAGATCTATTTTTTGACATTTTTAAATTGAAAGGAATCAGTTTTGTAAAAATGTAGAGATATTAAGATTTTTTTTGGAAGCAGAAGAGATGAAAAATTAGCAACGCCTTCGCCGGGAATCGAAACATGGACCTCTGGAATACCGGCCCAGCGTGCAGAACCACTACACCACGAAGGCACGCTAGCAAGGTTAGCAAAATACTTTATACACTCCCTGTTTTTAAAGGGCGACTGGGGTTTTTAGGGGATCCAATCGCCAAATTCTGGTTGCGGAGATTCATCATCCACGACACTTTTTTTTAGTTCGGGCGCCACTGTAGAGATATATTAGGAATCTTAGGAAGCAGAAGAGATGAAAAATTATTATCCCTCTCTGTAATCAGAATTGTGACACTGTTGATCATAAATGCATTAATCATATGGAATCTGAATATGCGTTTTTGCTTAATCTGTAAATACTTCTTCATAATTTCAATTTCTTCATGCAATGTCACATTTTACTTCTCAGTTTCAATGTTATTCAATGATTGGAGGTGGTGTGGTGTATTTAATTATGGCAAAGCACACTAGGGCTATCTGCCTAAGGGGAGGGATACCTTCGTGGAGGACTTTCTAAGGGAAACTGGCTCGTATACACGTTACACATGGGGAAAACCACGAAAACGCCTATGCAGCGAGCCCGTTCGCGGGATTCAAACCTCGGACCGAACTACCAGTATTCAGCGACTTTACCGCTCGGCCGCTGGTGGGCCTATTCAATGATTGGAATTACCATTTAGAATAATAAACATCGTTGTAGATTGTATAGGTTAATTTGAATTTAAATTTAGGTACTATAATTTAATAAACATTGATGAAAATATTTTTGAAATACTTGTTTTTAAAACAAAATTAGTTTCAAAATAAACTTAAAATATTTATAATTTTAATTACATGTTTATTTAATGAGGAACACTTATTATTTTGCCAAGTCGTAATATTCTTTTTTCGTTAATATCAAATATATACCGTTTATTAGAAACAATGTAGCCAGTTTTAAGGGGACTCATACACCTTAAAACCCTCCTGATCTTGGAATATGTGACCGTTGCAAGAATTGGGATATTTTATTTATTTTAAAAACAATTACTTCCAACTTTTTGCAGCTGACTTCATGATATAGCTGCTTTGGAAACTAGTAACCAGAAAGTTTGTGTTGCCACAAATATTTTTGTAATTTAATCCTCTTTGTGACAAAATATTTCGCCATATTCCACCTTGCGCGCATGATATTTTAAAAATGGCTAATGGTACATACTTGAAATTGGATGGAATTCTTTATATGGGCACCATTTTCTAACTGAACCAACAATCTGATGAATGTTTTACTATTGAAAAATTTTATGGACGAAAACATTAAAAATGTTTTTCATAAAATACATTTTATAAACTCAACTCAAAATAAAATAAATATTTAACATGAAATTTTTAGAATTTTAGGTTCACAGTAGTTTCCAGACGTTATAGAATCTATATATTAAATATGGAATGAAATTATGAAACAGAGTGTTTTAAACTGTGCTCGCAAGTTGGAAACATGACGAAAAATGTTATTACAAAGCGGATTAAATTTAAAAATATTTGTGGCAACACAAACTTTGTGATGACTATTTCAAAACGCAGCTTTATTATGTAGTCAGCTGTGGAAAGTTGGTAGTAATTGCTTTTAAAATATATAAAATATCCCAATTCTTGCAACAGTCACCTATTCGAAAATCTTATGGGTTTTAAGGTGTATGAGTCCCCTTAAATATTTCTCGTAAATTTAAGTTAATCAATGCCCCCAAAATAATTATCCATTCCTGGAGTGAATATAGACAGAGTAAAATGAAAATCCCTTTTAATAACAAGAATATTCATTTAAGGGAACAAAATATCATTGTTTTAACCTAGAATAAAAATCTAATTATTGTACTTGTTCATTAAATGTTATGTTTAGTCATTCGTAAATCTAATTTCTTAGAAGATAAATTAATCTAACTACTTATAAGAACTGCTTTTTAATGTAAATACTAGTTACAGTTACCAACATTAAGCATAATGCATCTTCACATAAAAAATCGCAATTCGAAGAAAACAGTAATTAAGCATAATGCATCTTCACATAAAAAATCGCAATTCGAAGAAAACAGTAATTAACTTAAGAACCTCCAAAAAAGTGAACAATTATTGTGTCTTAATTAAAGTGAACAATGTCAATGCAAATGTTAATTATTACAATTCATTAACAGAAATTAATGAATGTGCAAACTCTCAGAGGAGCAAAATTTCAGGTCTCTTAGGATCTCATTTTGGTAACAATATCAATTAAAACTTCGTATATTTAATTTTCGCAGCGCTCAAGTTTTGATTATTTCTGAAAAGAAGATATTTTTTCTTTGTCACAAATAAAATTGCCGTTTTAATTTAATGACTTATTTTATCATGCAATAAATTAAACAAGTACTTACATAAGCATCACTTCTCTAGTTTGCCTTGAAATAATTTTGCCTAAGAATAAATATGTACAATTTGTTAATTGAATTTTTTAATGGGTTATTAAACTACCTTTCTGTATTTCTTTTTGAAAATTTTAACAGCACATTTACTATACATAGTCATAAGATTCGAAGGATGTGCAAAATGTTTTTAATTGAAGCGCATTTTTGTGCCTTACAACGTATACAATAGTCAATTCAGATAGATTCCATCATATTCTAATTTAC